AACTAATTCTAAAATTAAATATGCTAAAAATATAGTTTACCTCCCTTTCTGTGGACTAATTTTTCCGCTGATTGACTGTTACATAGTTCTTATTACTAACTCAAAATTACATGACTGTGTTATATACGTAATATAGTTCTTGTTACTAATTAGTCATACATATCTGCCATCCACAATTTTAATTCCTATAAAAATATATATTTGTTTTAACCCTAAGACTTAAAACTAGGATTTTAATCACAAAAGCAGTATAAAACAACTGTAATTAAAGATTTAAAAAGAACTACCTTTTCAAATTAGTTTCTGATTTAGAAAACAAAAACAAAACCCTACAAAATAGATCATCTTAATCCTGGAATTAAGAGTCAATCTATAAGTACGTTGATGACAAAGAAATTTATAATTAAAATCTTTGCTAGGTATCTAACGAAAACTGGTGACTCTGATTTCAGTTATTTCTATGATTTGAAATGAATGAAAATGGAATCCATAGGATAGTTTTCCTTATATGTCAAGCAGGGTTAGAAGTAAGGGTGTGTGAAAAGAGGCCGTGCTGGTCACAGCAGTGGCTTCCTCTGAGTGTTCTCCTACTCTCTTCCACTAAGGTCTAAAGCAGTTTTACTGTACCTTTAGGGTATATCAGAATCACTTGGAGGGCCTATTATATTGCTTGGCCCCATTCCTAGAGTTTCTGAGCCAACACATTTGAGGTGGGCCCTAGAATTTGCATTTCGAACAAGTTCCCAGCAGCTGAACCACAGGTCCAGGGTTCAAGATGTAGAAGACATATGAGCATACAGAGCAACCAGATGCCAACATAAAGAAAACTTTTTATGCTACTATCATATTCCCTACAACTGGCCAGGAGCATACTTTAATTAATCATATGACCAACCTATGGGTCATAGACAGAGGGTATTTTCTTCAAAGAACTATTTTTTCTAGAGTCCTATGGCCTGATACTTGTGCTTCTTTCTTTGTTTATGCCAGTGGAAAAGTTAGTTGCTTTTGTAACATCTGAATGTTTAAAAAAATTTTTTTTTCTAAGTAATTAATAAATAAATAAATGAGTTGCTTTCTCTAAGATTTCTGTTACCAAGAGTTCAGCTTTCCTATGTGTACCACTTAGCTATTCTCCAAAGTGTCTGCTCCTACTCCTTTGAGAACTGTAAACAAAATAATTAAATAAGAGTTTCTAGGGATGGAACCCAGGCATAATTGTCAAAGATATACGAGTGATGCCAATGCATTGTCAGGGTTGCACTCCACTGCCTTAGTTCAAACTCAAAGATTCTTTCTTTGGTGGCACATTAGAATTACCTCACACAAACACACGCGTGCACGTGCGTGCGCCCAGATTCTACCCTGAAAGGATTCTGATTTAGTTGGTGGGCTTTATTTATTTATTTATTTATTTATTTTTAAACACTCCAGGTGGTTCTAAAATGCAGTGAAGATTGAGAACAACTCTGTAAAAATATGGCAGTTAAGCTTCCAGCTATACACTGCCACTTGTTTGCATACATATTTCCTTACACTTGTTCCCTCCCTCACAGAGACTTTCCTATGAAGTAGCTAATTAGAACATTAAGATATTTTAAGAACAAAGCCCACTGGTTAAGAAAGAATTGTTTCTTCATTTAGGTTCGTGCAGCTTGTTCCTCTGCTCTGGGCTACTTAACATACAATGCAAATGCTTTCCGCATCCTATTCAAAGAATGCAGGAATAAACCTAATCAGTTCATTCGCATAAAAAATAATATCAGCAGAGATGCAAGTATTAACCCAGCATTTTTAAAGGAATTTCAAATGCAACAAACACTGGTGGGACTTCCTTCCTTAAGGTATGGTCCTATGTTAGAAGTTGCAGTAGTGAAATCATTGAGAGGAGACTTTAATGAGGTTTAGTAAGATCCAACAAGAGGAACTATTCTTGATATGAACATATCTCCTGTATAGCAGACGATAAACTTCATTCTAAATGACCATTGCCAAAACCTGTTTTAATTCCAACTCAGCACCAGAGTTGTGGGTGCAGACAAGAATACACTTAGATCTTGGAGATCCTCTCTGGCCAAGATTACTCACATTTTAGAAAGTTTTGGGGAGACTGGTTACCACAACATCTGATTCAAGAATTCATTTTTTTAGCAGACTAGGGATACATTTGAGAGTTCTAAGACAAGATCACCACCCCGACCTTAGCATCAAATGGGTCTTCTGGACCAGATCTAAAGCTAGGCCAAATTCCCAGGGTGGAAACAGGGCTAAATTAGACTTAGTGGTTAGAGTTACAGTGAAGTTTGCCAGGAATTTATTCAGAGGATTTCATCTCATGTTGTGGTTTCATCATGAACTTAAGTCCCCACAAAAGGGGAGGAGAGGAGAATCTCTTTACTATGGGTATGTTTCCTCTTCTGCAAATGTAGCTGAATTACAAGTCTTCTCTCCAAGTAGTGATATTCATACATAGGAAATAGAACTACACAAGATATGTTAACTCTATGATAATGGAAGAGAATAGGATCCAATAATGCATCCGAATAGGATCCATGTACAAACATAGATTCTACATCAATTTTAAGTACAGAGAATGATGAGTACATCTATGGAGCCACTTTAATTCTTTGAAAAGCTGAAAGTCTAAAATGGGTGACCTAATTTTATGATAAGCCAGCGAACCTAAATTATAACTGTTGTAATTGATAATTCTAAATAATTTCCATTGGTTCGAGGAATTAAATAATGTAAGTAGTATTTTACACAGTCACTCCCACGGCTAGCCCATGTGATGACTTTGTGGGAATTAGAAAAATATACCCCTTTCTCAGACCTATCTTCTTCAAAACCCAGCTGAAGTTTCTCTTCTTCTGTAACATTTTCCCTGATCACTTCAAGAAGATTTAATGTTCCAAATGTTTGGAGTAAATAAGTGAGTAAATGAGTGACTGAATATAAAATACTTACAGGTAACATGCAGAGTTAGTGGAGGAACATGTATGAATTAGGCCATCAGGCATTAAACCTGGTACCATAAGTCTTCATATATTTCTTCATATATTTTTTCTGGGTGCATTAGGTCTTCATTTATTTTAATAATGATAAAAATGTTTTCCTTTTAGTCTGGAGAAGAATGGAGGACCATCCATAATTCCTATCTTTAAAAAAGGTAATTGATTTTTTTTTTTTTAATCTATGAAGTACCTTCTAGCCTAGACACTTTATAATTCTGTATTCCATCTCTAAAAATTCAAAATGTAGGCTGAGCACAGTGGCTCATGCCTGTAATCCCAGCACTTTGGGAGGCCGAGGCAGGTAGATCACTTGAGGTCAGGAGTTCAAGATTAGCCTAGCCCATATGGTGAAGCCCCATCTCTACTAAAAATAATAATAATAGTAAAAATTAGCCAGGCATGGTGGTGCATGCCTGTAATCCCAGCTACTTGGGAGGTTGAGGCAGGAGAATCACTTGAACCTGGGAGGCAGAGGCTGCAGTCAGCTGAGATCGAACCACTACACTCTGACCTGGGTGACAGAGTGAGACTCCATCTCAAAAAAAAAAAAAAAAGTAGAAGGTACCCCCCCAAAAAAGTTTACCTGCATACTTTTCTTTTGTAATTATGTCTACCTAAAATATCTTCCTAATTATAAGTCCATGTTAATCATTTTCTGTAAGGCCTTCCCTACCAGTATCACTTGAAAGTGACTCCTGTCTTATTTTGCTTTTCTCAAACCATGCATAGAAATAAGTCATTATTTAAACGACCTGTAAATATGACTTAAATTATGATCCTGCTATTGCTGTTTTATATACAACTTACCTATCTGAATTCTCGGGGCAGAGACCACATTTTTTCCGTTGATACTCTATATAGTTTTGTATGTAGTTGGTACATTACACTTGAATGGATTAGATCTGCAGAGATCAGAGTCCAGATCTCATATTATTTATCCCTTCCTATTAGATATGTAATAGGGAATATAAATTACTTATTAATTTCACATACATGCTTAGTGCCTTTTCATGTAGGACCAAAATCAGTCTTACTTGATATGTTGTCCTATTACGAAAATCAAGGATAGAAACATTCAGAAGTCAAGATCAGTTTGTTAGAGTCATAAACAGAAAGGGAGAGAATTTAAAACGACAGTAAAAGGAGAGGAGACAATTTCATGTATTCAGCAAGTATATGAGGGAAGCTAGGTATGCGGGGAGGCGATATAGAAATATATATAGAATATCATGAGTAGAAGAGCATCCATTTTTTATATAGCTTCTTGAATGTAAGAGTAATTTACACAAAAGAATAAAATCAGTTCACTTTTTCTTCACTTTAACAATGGTTTCTAAACAACAATCTGTTTATCAGTCATGATCTGATGAAGTTTTCACAGGTTTGTGGTAACATAAGAAAAAATAAGGACAAGGTAACACGTTTCTGGTAAAATTAATTTCATTCAATGTCAAGTCCATCATTTTGAGATAATGCCTTTTACACTTTCTTTTGGTGCTAAAATATTCTTTATTTTACATAATTACGTTTAAAGTAGTATTTGTTCTTTTATTGGTGCTAACTTAACAAAACAAGCTAGCAAGCTACTGATCTGTTCTCTTAGTATGTTTTAGTTATGTAAAGAAAACAGAACTACATAGAACTAGAAGTAATGAGGCTATACCTAGGGCTCTCAGGAGAGACATTTAATTGTGGCTAATTTTTAGGGAAGGATCACCGAAGAAAATTAAAACCTAAAATTCAACCAAGAGATTCTTTGACTTTATTACCTCCTGTAACTAACTTCATGGGACTCTTCAAAGCAACAAAAAAGACCAAGGATTCCCATAATATTTTTTCTTTTTCATCTACAATTACATCAGATATCACAAATGTATCAAGACCAAGAATAGTGTGTTTGAACCAACTTGGGAAACATGTCCAGAAAGCCAACCCAGAGCCTGCAGAAGGCTAATAAAACATTTTAGTATGAAAGGATTCCTGAGCCATCTTTTAAATTTTTTTTTATTTTTAATAATGGTAATATGCAAATAACGTAACTGAATAATCTTTTTGAATGGAAGTTCTTGATCTCGATACTAAGCAGACTTTCCTTAGCATGTCTACGGGAATTTAATATCAGATCAGAATTATGGTTTCAAATAATAAGTAGGATTTCTTTAAAAGAAGGCCTGCACTTAAACCTTAAAATTTATTGACTGACATGAGTGGTATAACTAGTGTATATATCAAGAGTTAACATTTTTAAATTGGCGTGCAAGAGGCCTGATTCAAAGTAGCTCACATGGTAACATTTATTATAATACTGTGAGATATTTAGTAATAAATATTACAAATGTATAAGTCTTCTAAGACCCAAAATGTACACTTAAGAAATATTTTGGCTAGGCATGGTGGCTCACACCTGTAATCCCAGCACTTCTGGAGGCCAAGGTGGGAGGATCACTTGAACTCAGCGGTTCAGGACCAGTTCGGGCAACATGGCAAGAGCCTGTCTCTACAAAAAATAGAAATAAAGTTGGCTGGGCGTGGACATGCACACCTGTAGTCCCAGCTATTCAAGAAGCTAAGGCAGGAGGATTGCTTGAGTTCAGGAAGTCAGGGTTGCAGTGAGTTGTGATCTTGCTACTGTAGATCTCTTGCTACCAGCCGAGGTCCGAGAGTGAGACCCTGTCTCAAAAAAAAAAAGATCTGAGAGTCAGTGTATGAAGCAGAAAAGAAAAATTTAAAAAGAAAATAAAAATTTTTTACAAGGGAAAAAAAGTTTTATTTAAAAATAAAATCCGAAATCACTGCCCATCAAGTACATAAGTATGGCTTTTGTAGCTAACAGTGTTGCTCATTCTCCCTATTTATAGAGTGTCTTTGGTTTGCAACTGGAAAAGGTAATAGTCTTACGTGGCTTAGAACCATATGATGTCTTTGCTCAAACAGCAATGTCTGCTTCTCCTATTTTACAGCTGCAGACAAATATGATACAAACACCTGACTTCACCGTGTACTTTATTTTACTTATTTATTTATTTTTTTGAGATGGAATCTCGCTCTGTCACCCAGGCTGGAGTGCAGTGGCAAGATCTCGGCTCACTCCGCCTCCTGGGTTCAGGCAATTCTGCCTCAGCCTCTTGAGTAGCTGGGATTACAGGCGCCTGCCACCACGCCTGGCTAATTTTTGTATTTTTAGTAGAGATGAGGTTTCACCATGTTGGCCAGGCTGGTCTTGAACTCCTGACATCAGGCGATCTGCCTGCCTTGGCCTCCCAAAGTGCTGGGATTACAGGTGTGAGCTACTGCACCTGGCTTCACTGTTTACTTTAAAGCTCCCCTTTTCTCCATCTACTTGCTGAATTGCCTTCATACAGTCTGAGGGTCTTGCTGTAATCCATTCTCTACCTGGGCTGCAGTAAGCATTGAAAGTATATATTAATTAGTAGCTATTTTCCCTGATATGCACTTAGGGCTTTCTATGTGCCAGAGTCCAAAGTCAGTGAGTGAGTGAGTGGGTGAATGAATGATTATTTATTTATTTATTTATTTGACAGGGTCTTGCTCTATTACCCAGGCTGGAGGGCAATAGTACAATCATAGCTCACTGTAGCCTATAACTCCTGGATTCAAAGCAATCATCCCACCTCAGCCTTCTGAGTGGCTAGGGCTACAGGTCCTCGGTCTCTGTTATGCTGAGTGTGGTGGTACAGACCTGTAGCCTTAGCTACTCAGGAGGCTGAGGTCTCTGCTGTGTTGCCCAGGCTGGTCCCAAATTCCTGGCCTCAAGTGATCCTCCTCCCTTGGCCTCCCAAAGCACTAGGATGAGCTACCATGCAAAGCCTGTGTTCTTAACCACTGAAAAATAAGAGACGTCTTTAATCTTCATATTTAATTCTAAATTATCTTAATGGTGCTGAGTTACAACTTTCTGGTGGATTGACTAAAATATAGGAAATGCGGAGGGAAATGGTCTATTTTATACTAGAAAGGGATACATATTCAAGTAATAAATTGTGTTATCCAGCACCATTAAGGATAAGAATTCATAACAATGGAAATATTAAGCTTCTGTAGATATTTTAAAAAGCCTTTAGAGAGCAACTTTTGAGCTCTGAAACTGGTTTCAGGTAGGCTCAAGACTATATTTTAGGACTATTTTCCGGTTATCAGAGTTCCTTTGCATTCAATTCCAGATATTTCCTGAGTATCTTGGCCTAGCCAGACCATCCTACCACTCCTAAAATGTATACTACTTCTCCTATAAATCCCCCCCATAAAGATTATTTTGATTGGCCGGGCATGGTGGCTCATGCCTGTAATCCCAGCACTTTGGGAGGCTGAGGTGGGTGGATCACGTGGTCAGGAGTTCGAGACCAGCCTGGCCAGCATGGTGAAACCCCATCTCTACTAAAAATACAAAAAATGAGCTGGGCATGGTGGTGCTTGCCTGTAGTCCCAGTTACTCGGGAGGCTGAGGCAGGAGAACTGCTTGAACTTGGCAGATGGAGGTTGCAGTGAGCCGAGATCGAGCCATTGCATTCCAGCCTGGACAACAGAGTGAGACTCTGTCTCAAAAAAAAAAAAAGATTATTTTTATTACTCCACGGTTTTTTTTTTTTTTTTTTAAGGATGTGTGAGAAGTCAGGCCCTGGAGGCTGAAGTTGGAGGATTACATGAGCCTAGGAGTTCTAGTCCAGCCTGGGCAACATAGCAAGATGCTGCCTAGAAAAACAAACATAAAAAATTATGTATGAGAAAGGTCTCCAGATATAGAGGGTTATATTCAAAGAATTGTACATTTAGTTACTTTAGTCAAGACAGAAAAACAGTGATAATCTTACGATATTTGCAGTACAAAGTTTGGATTAAAAAAAATTATCCAAAAAAACTCCCTCATTTATTTCCATCTGATTATATACAATTTTTCAAATAACTGATGTGAAAGTATACGGACAACTAAAGCGTACAATACATACTTGAGGGATTACTTACATGTCAAAATTGTAAAACCTCAAATTATATGAATTTTTAAAAATGCATAGACATCCTGTTTACTCCAGAGAGGATACCTAATCATGAACTCTTAAAATTAATAACATATTATGTTAGAGAAACTCAGCTTTTGTCTTGATTTGGAAATGTCTGTTTTGACATGACTTTGATCTAAAATTGCTTTCTCATGCACATTTGTAATCCCAGCACTTTGGGAGGCCGAGGCAGGCGGATTGCCTGAGCTCAGGAGTTCAAGACCACCTTGGGCAACATGGTGAAACCCTCTCTCTACTGAAAATACAAAAAATTAGCCAGGCGTGGTGGTGGGCTCCTGTAGTCCCAGCTACTCAGGAGGCTGAGGCAGGAGAATTACTTGGACCCAGAGTAGAGGTTGCATGCAGTAAGCCGAGATCACACCACTGCACTCCAGCCTGGGTGACAGAGGGAGATTATCTCCAAAAAATAATGATGATAAAAAAAATAATAAAACTGCTCTCTCATTATAAAGTCAGGTTCTTGTTTCAGTAGGAGTTAAAAGGGAGCTTCTCCTATCCTGATTTGAGGAAGTGGGGGAAAGTCCTAGGCCTGGATGATACAGGGCCAGAATTCAGCAAAATTACTGTGTTTCTTCCAAAGTTTTTCTTTCTACCTGCCAACATCAATACATTCCTTTCTCAAAAGATGTTTTATTTTGGTTTTTAATAATTAAAAAAAAAAAAAAACTATGTTCCCTTGTAAGGCTTTAATACAGTACAGTATCTCAGAAGAGCAGGTAAAACATCAAACTTAAAAAGAAAATAAGAAAGTCTTGATGAATAATTAATATTATATATCTTCTACAATTTGATACACAAAATAATAAAAACTTAATTTTAACATTAACGCTACCTTTAGGGACTTTTTTGAACAGCAGAAATCATATCTCCATTTTTAATTGTGGTACTTTTATGGCAGCTTCTCCAACTTCTTTTGATATGTCTACTCCAAGAGGACATCTACATCATAAGCAGACAAATCATATTATTTATTTGCTTCATGATCCATCACTAGTTCTGCAGACTATTTGCTTAGAATTATGACAATATAAATATCAAATGTTTAATTCATCATATGTGGTAATGATTCTTAAATACTTACAAATATACCGGGACCTCAAGTCAGGATAATGAAAGCTAGTCTCAATAAGAAATCTAACTTTTGAGATGTTCTTGAAAGAAAGTTTTACTGCTCTCAAATACTGTAAATAAGTTAAAAACATAAAATGAAATATAAAAATAATGAAAAATGTCTTATAATTCTCTACAAAGCTAAAAAGGTAAAAACATGTTTGCCATACAGCTAAAGTCAAACCTGTGTCCATTCACATTTTGGAAATGTCCTAGGTTTCTATAGGTTCTTCTCTGAAGTTTCAAAAGCTGCCTTGCCCCTTTTCTACCATCCTTTGCCATTACTAGCCAAAGAGGTCTTAGTTCCTGCTGTCTTTTTCTGTTCCTCCTCAGTAACTAATTTTTGCTTCAGATTTCTGCTTTTCTACCATGTTGTCCAAGATAAGGCTTTGCTTTGACTGAATCCCAACCTGGAAAAAGCCATCATCTCCAGCCTCAACACTGCCACAAGGTGACACAACTGAATCAGAGGATATACTCTATCTGAGACAAGGTATCAAAGGGATGCCTTCCAGTACTACTAACTCAATTCAGTTCATTCATGATCAGCATACATGTAATTCATATATAGCACAACTGTCAAGTTACGGAATATAATGCTGACAGTTGTGTGTGTGTGTGTGTGTGTTTTTTTTTTTTTTTTTTTGAGATGGAGTCTCGCTCTGTCACCCAGGCTGGAGTGCAGTGGTGTGACCTCAGCTTACTACAACCTCCGCCTCGAGGATTCAAGCAATTCTCCTGCCTCAGCCTCCCGAGTAGCTGCGATTACAGGCGCCTGCCACTACACCTGGCTAATTTTTGTATTTTCAGTAGAGATGGGGTTTCACCATGTTGGCCAGCCTGGTCTTGAACTCCTAACTTCAGGTGATCTGCCCGCCTCAGCCTCCCAAAGTGCTGGGATTACAGGCATGAGCCACTGTGCCTGGCCAGTGCTGACAAGTTAAAACATCAGATGAAACAGTGTTCAAAATATAATTATGTTAGATTATGAAAATAATTGTCTTTTACTATTCCAGAATTAACTTATAACAGAATTTGATAGTAATTTGAAAAACCAGCCAGGCAATGGTGGCTCACACCTGTCATCCCAGCATTTTGGGAGGCTGAAGTGGGTGGAACACTTGAGACCTGGAGTTTGAGACCAGCCTGGCCAACATGGCAAAACCCAAAAACTAAAAATACAAAAAATTAGCTGGGCACAGCTGTGTGAACCTATAATCCCAGCTACTCAGGAGGCTGAGGCATGACAGTCACTTGAATGCGGGAAGCAGAGGTTGCAGTAAGCCGAGAATGCACCACTGCACTCTAGCCTGGGTGACACAGTGAGACTCTAAAAAAAAAAAAAAAAAAAAAAAAGTAAAAGAAAAAGCTGTGCTATTCACTGGAACTTTGATTTGGGAGAGGAAATAAGGCTTGCAGGAAACAGCTATCTTTTGGCCAATTCTCAGCTGCCTGTGTGAAAGCATAATCACAACCCACTCTCACACCTGAATGCTTTCTGCATGTTTTCCTTAAATTTCCCAGCATACCTGCTGGTTCTGAGATGTTCCTGACATTGCCAAAGTCCAGGCCATGGACACAGTTTACATTCTAGTTCCAAAGGAGGGAATTCATCACTCTTATTCATGACCTGTTTCTAACTCACCTAAACTTGTCAAGATTTTTATAATTTGATACTATAGCAAAAATATTTCTCATATGGTATCAACCTTAACTAGGTTCATGAAAGAAATTTATGTAACTTTCCTTCAAGTACCACCAGAATGTCAATGAAAACCTCATATATAAAGGCAAAATCCAGGCTTTGTCTTAAGTAATGTAACTTGCATAAAGATCATGAATGATATCACGTACTTTGGTTCATAGCGGATGCCTTCTATGTCATGTAAAATGCCCAAGCCAGCACGTAGTCTTTCAATACCGTTCCTAAATAAGAATCATTAAAATAAAATCAATAGCTCCAAGATCTGAAGGAAGAAGGTTTAGTATGATAAAACGGCAATTAATATTTACATAGTTACGAGTGAAGCACATATATCCTGTGGCCTACCATGCAATCATAATGCCATTATCAGTGCACAGTCTGGGAGGAGGACACAACAAAGTGCACTGTGTTGCGTTTGTTAAAATTTCCAGAGCTCTGCGGACATAGAAGTTACTTGCAACACCACCAGATGCAACCTGAAGGAATTGAGAAAACCAAAATAACTATCATATATGGATAGGAACCAAGCTGCTAATTAAACCTGGGGAAAATATCAGCATTATACAATAATAAACTATTCCATTTTGAGATTGGTAATGGGCAAATGATGTATCTATATAATAAAAATTTGGAAAGAAAAAATTACTAACAATTCTAATAGCATACAAACATTACTAGCATTTTTGTATATTTTCTTCCAACCTTTCATCTAAATATTTATTTAATATAATCACAATCATAGAACACCATTTTAGACTCTGAATTTTTTTTATTAAATATTTTGTGCATTTTACTACATAACTCTGAAAAGATTATTCTTTGATATCCAAGTAAAATTCCATCTATGAATTACCACCATTTAAACATTTTCCCACTTTAGTTTATAATTTTTAAATGAATAAAGTTTAAGCTACAGTTAAACAGGATGTTTGTCTCAAGGCTTTTAAACACAATTAAAGGGATTTCAGCTGGTACAATATAGTGGATTTATCAACATTAGTGTCACGAAAGTTGGTATACCATCTCCCACTGCTAAATTTGACTGGCTTATTAAAAAACAAAGGAATTTCATCAAAGGATGAAGGAAATCCATCTATTTTTCTAAAAATAGTGATAGCAGTTACTGCATTTACTTTCTTTATTGTAAGCCCTCTTTTAAATCCAAGAGGATGCGATCTTAGACTTATGAGCCATAGAAGTTACACAGATGTCCCATGAAGCTGCCAAACTAGTACAAGAAATGGCTGTTAGTCTTTCCTATCCTGCATAATTTCATACTGTCAGGGCTAGCATAGGGCATAAAGATCTGTTCATCCTAAACACTAGGTCAAGGTCTTGGGAAAAAAGTAACATATTGCAAAGTGTAACTATTACTTTAAAATGAGATAAAACTTACCAGTACTGCATTATTTTGAGGTAACAAGTCTCTCTGCTTACAAAACAGAATAGCCCGATGTGTTCTTCTCACAATATGACATGCCATTGTGTGCTGTACTGTGGCAGCAATGTCTGCAGCTGAAGACAGGACTTGCCCCTCCTCAATACCTGCAGAAATGAGCAGGCATTTTTAGGCACAATCCAGGAACATTTATCTGTTCAACTTTACTAATTAGAAATATACCTTCCTCTTTTTCCTTTTTCATTATTCTTTTATTAGTAACTTGTTGAAGTCCAGTAAAAGAAAAATCACAGTTTTTAGCACGATGCAAGGGAGGTTTGATGTCAAAATGAAATCTATTTCCTTGTTTGGCCAAATGTTCTATGGCTTTCCCACCACTCATGGTGGAGCACTCTGGATGTTTTATTAAAGAAAGTCTTCTTGCCACCTATCAAAAAATTATATTTTTTTAGAGTCATAAAATTAAATACTTTGAAACGAAAAGATGCAAAGGAAATGAATTGAAAATTACTAACAGAACAAAACGCCCCTGAATGAATAAAACATACTATACTTTGGCAAATATAGACTACAGCTGATATTCAGGTAAGCAGACAACTCTGCTCCTTATGATGACCCAAACAATAAGAGGCCAATCACTGCCCCATCTACGTTTGCTCTTCTATTGGGGTTGGAAAATAGGCTTGAAGTTGACAATGACTGCTTAATGATGAATGTCAATAATAAGAACTTGTCCTATACTTTCTTCCTATTATTTCACTGTGGAAAGCAGTGTTTTTATATATATGGCAGTAGCCTCTGTAGTATTCTAAAACAAAGGGCGGGGGGGAAAAACCCTACCTGTCTGTGGTGTCAGCAATTGTGATTTAATTCTGTGCATTGCATCTTTAATGTCATGTTAATCTATATATGTTCTCTTATTTTACCTTTTTTGCAGTATGTTAGTTTACAAAGCACGTTCTTTCACATATATTATTTGACAAAATACATAACTGTATCTGCAAACTATTTCAGCTTTTATGTACAGATATGAACCTCTTAACATTTTATTAGGAAAGGCTAAGAATTATACAATTGTGTACTACTCTTTGTATTTTTTCTTACCATTGTGAATTTTTTTCAGTTTATTAAGATATCATTCAGAAATATTTAGGTGAATGTTGGTAGCACATCGATTGCTACTTAGTTGAAATGGACAACGTAACAAAAAAGAATGGAGAAATTAATTCTTAAATAATTACCTTGTCAAGCATGTCACCTGGTGCTATGTCCAAAGACTTTCCAAGAAGCAGAAAATCTGAAACTCCTTGAACTAATGCCAACAGACAGTGACCTCCAGAAATCAAAAGAACTAAAAAAGGAAATTCTACTTTATTGGTCAACCTAATAGTAAGTGCATGAGCCTCCATATGGTGAATGGGAATGAATGGCTTTTTTAACTGTCCTACCAGCTGTAAGCTAAATGATAAGCCCACTCCCAGGCTTAAAGCAAGTCCTGGTTTTATGGTAGTTGCAATTGCTGAGAGGTCACTTGGTGAGATTCTACTGGCAGAAAGAGCTTCTTGTACTATTCGTTGAATATTGTCTCTGTGAAGCTGTTGAGCTACTGCAGGAACAATCCCACCTGTTCTGAAAGAAAGACAGCTTTTTGTAGTTTTAAGATTGTAAAAATGAGGAAAACTGATAATATATTACAGTTAAAGGCATGTCTTCAAGTTAATCATTACATAGCTAAGTCAAATATTTTCTAATTGTGTGCCTTCTAACATAGCACACTATGGTTAAAACTCAGTAAGCAGTAATTAAGGGGATAATATTTCTGACTTTTTCAACTTATGCACAACAAAATCTCATGGATTTGTTTGTTGACAAATGAAATCACCAAAATAATCTTGCAAAGCATTCCAGACAAGTTTTGAGCATGGGAAGGACAGGAAAAAATTGTATTTAAGGAAAATTAATTTCCTTGCTGACAGAAGAATTTAAGAGAGATTACTGTGAAAGTATTTGTGTAAAATGATTATATCTTAAACTGGGTGATTGTGGAAATGGAAAGAAAGGGACAGAGAACCTTAAGAACTGTAATAACTAATTGAATTGAATATAAGGGGACAGGGGGACTAAGGCATCAAAGTTTGTTCAGCTATTCAGCTGGAATGACTGGGAGAAAAGAAATTCTAAAAGACAAACATGAAGACAGTTTTATAAAGGAGATGAGTTTATTTTAAAACACATTCCAATTGAGGTCACAGCAGGACAGCAGATGGCTTGCAATCCTGAAATACAGTTTGGGAATCTGGTGCTCAGAGTTGGTAATTTGGATTTTTGGTCCATGTAGGATGGTGGATGGCCACTCCAGATGTCAAGTGTAAAGAACTAAGAGACAAATTTGCTAGCAACAAATTTGCTACCATGTGATTGATTTACAATATGAGAACTAGAGCAATAAAATAGAGTCTGCAAATTGCCCTGCTAGTTTCAAAAAAAACATCTTCAAATATTTGATGTTGCAAGACCTACTAGTTCTATGTGTAGAAATGAAAATCCTCAGTAAGTGCATTCAATGAATATTTGCTGAGTAATTAAAATATTGTTTCAGGCAATGAGGGGGATATAAATGAAATGATCTGATTTCAACACATCCACATTGTAATATAATTTTCCTTAATTCTTCAAAGCTACTTTTTCTCTTATATTCCTCATCTTTGTTAGTGGCATCAGATAACCCTTGGGTTTCAAAGTTCATCTTTACTTCCTTTCTCTCCTTCACTCTCTCCATTTAAGTTTATCACCACTCCCACTGCCAAGTCTCAAAAGCCCTCATCTCAGTCTATTTATTCAACAGTCTTCTAATTGTACTTTCCTAACTACGTCCTTTGATCCTTAGAGTCCATCCTATATTGCTGCCAGAGAATACTCTAAAGCACAGTGCTACTCCTGTTATTCCCCTACTCAAAACCTTTAGTTTCGTGGAATTTGGGAGGCATCAAATCTAAATTATCTCCCTGCCACTCATTCCTTCCTTCTCTGTCTTGCCTCCCTTCTTTCCTTTCTATGCCTTTTCTGTGTATTTTATCTTCCAGGGATTATGCTAAACACTAGGGCCAAATAAGAACATGGCTTTATTCTCAAAGAATTAATAATAACAATGTATTTTTGTCTTACTATGATTTGTAGACAGTATGGAGTGTGGATTAGGGAACAAAGCTAATAAAGAGGCAGGGAAACCACTGAGGCTTGAAGCTATAGCCAAGTGTCTATGCAAAAGACAATAAAGGATTGAACTCAATCAGTGAGAAAGCAGAGGAAAGTTGCAAAAAATATTTGGGAGATGGATTTACTATGAATGACTGATTTGGATGTGGAATGGTGAGGGAGAAGTCAAGGATGTCCTTCAGGTTTCTGGCTTGGAAAAAGGGACTCCTCCTGCCAAGTAATCCTCTATTACTGCACTTTCCATTCTGTTTCACAATGGTCTGCTTACTGTCTTCTTCACTTTTACTGATAGTAGTAGTAGAACTACTATTGTTACTAATAGCTAGCTTGTATTCAGCCATTGCTATTCATCAAGAATGCCCCAAAAGCTTTAAAGGAATTCACACTTAATATTCACAACACTAATTTGAATTAGTGGTAATTATTATCATTTAACAGATAAGGAAACTGAGGCACAAAAAATTGTGCACAGTATCAAATGTAGTAAATGGCTGAACCAGAATATAAGCCTAGTAAATGGCTGAACCAGAATATAAGCCTACACTCTAACCCACTTATATGGTGAGCTGTTCAAAGGCAAGGGTCATATGTCTCATTTATATTTGCACCCCCAATGCCCCAAGTATTGCCTGGCAGCTATAGGTATTCAAAAAGTGCTGAGATGCGCCAGGTGAATGGTATCACTGAAGCCTATTTGCCCAGTAGTCTCCTTAAGTGACCTATGGTCTAGCTAAACTGAATGTCCAGTACTTCTCACTTCTTTGCCTTTGCTGACAATGCTCACTTAGTGATATGGTTTGAATCTGTGTCCCTGCCCAAATCTCATGTAGAATGGTAATTCCCAGTGTTGGAGATGGGGCCTGGTGGGAGGCAACTACATCATGGGGGCATATTTTCCCCTTGGTACTGTGTCACCATAGTCAATGAGTTCTCATGAGATCTGGTTGTTTTAAAGTGTGGGCCAGGCGCGGTGGTTCACGCCTGTAATCCCAGGACTTTGGGAGGCCTAGGCGGGTGGATCACTTGAGGTCGGGAGTTCGAGACCAACCTGACCAACACAGAGAAACCCCATCTCTACTAAAAATACAAAATTAGCCGGTCATGGTGGAGCATGCCTATAATCCCAGCTACCCAGAGGCTGAGCGGGGAGAATCGCTTGAATCCAGGAGGCAGAGGTTGTGGTGAGCCGAGATCATACCATTGCACTCTGGCCTGGGCAACAAGAGTGAAACTCCATCTCAAAAGAAAAAAAAAAAAGTGTGTAGCACCTCACCCCTCTCTTTTGGTCCTGCTCCTGCCATGTAAGATGCCTACTCCCACTTTGCCTTCCCTCATGAGTAAAAGCTCCCTGGGGCCTCTCCAGAAGCAGATGCTGCCATGTTTCCTACACAGCCTGTGGAAACGTGAACCAATTAAACCTCTTTTCTTTATAAATTACCCAGTCTCAGGTATTTCTTTATAGCAATGCAAGAATGAACTAACACAGCCAGTTTATAATATTCTTTCCATCTCCATTCACTGAAGGCCTAACGAAAGGCCACTGAACACCTGTGATGCGTCAAACATTGTGTTGGGCACTAGGTATAGCATAGTGGATAATATAGACATGGCCCCTGTCACCATGGCACTTAGACTCTACTGCGATTATACATACACAAGCAAATGTATAAATTGTGAAAATATTACAAAGAAAACATGCAGGATATGATAATACAGAATAAACAGGATGGGAGTACCTAATTTAGATAAAGTGGTCAGGGTAGTCCTTTCTGTGCCATTAACTTTTACATGTTCAAAAGTTCAGTGCACTCAGGAAAAACTGAAAGGACTGTGAAGGCACGGTAATACTAGTTACTGTCTGCACCACTTGTTTTACCTTATGCTGCCTTGCACTATTAATTCTCCTTGTAGGTCTAGACATCATGTCTCCATAATCGAGTTAAGCTTCCTGAAACCAAGGACTTTGCAGTACTTCACAGTGCCTTACTAATATCCAACACAGTCCCTTTCACATAGTTATTGTTTGAGGCTTAATCTGCCTCTTTACATATATCATTTCTAACGCCACCCTCCCGTAATTCTATAAGGCAGATGTTATTTTATTTACTTATTATTATTTTTTGAGACGGAGTCTCCCTCTGTCACCCAGGCTGAAGTCCAGTGGTGTGATCTCGGCTCACTGCAAGCTCCGCCTCCCGGGTTCATGCCATTCTCCTGCCTCAGCCTCCTGAGTAGCTGGGACTACAGGCGCCCACCACCACGCCCGACTAATTTTTTTTTTGTATTTTTAGTAGAGACGGGGCTTCACCATGTTAGCCAGGATGGTCTCAATCTCCTGACCTCGTGATCGCCCACTGTGGCCTCCCAAAGTGCTGGGATTACAGGCGTGAGCCACTGCGCCCAGCCAATTTTCCTATTTTACTGATGTGAAAACAGAATCAGAGAGGATATGGAACTTGCCTACAGTTACAGAGCCAATACCAACTGCTTAATTCAGGATTCAAATACAGGACTGTCATTCCAAAATACCAGGCTTTTTCACTATTCAGATGTTGTCAATTGATAGCTTAAAGGCATACTCATCTGTAGAGTATTTTAATATATTTTAAATTAGCTACTAATTTTAAAAATCTGGAAATACAACATTAAAAATCTGGATTTCCGGCCAGGCGCAGTGGCTCATGCTGTAATCCCCACACTTTGGGGGGCTGAGGCAGGTGGATCACGAGGTCAGGAGATCGAGACCATCATGGCCAACATGGTGAAACCCTGTCTCTACTAAAATACAAAAAATTAGCTGGGCGTGGTGATGCGTGCAGGTAGTCCCAGCTACTTGGGAGGCTGAGACGGGAATCGCCGGAGGTTGCAGTGAGCTGAGATCATGCCACTGCACTCCAGCCTGGTGACAGAGTGAGACTCTGTCTTACACAGACAAAAAAAATCTGGATTTCCATTTTCTCTTGAAAACTATAATAATCTAATAACACAGGTCCTGCATTCCCGCATGACAACTGGCTAGAGCTGAGTGGTGACTTCCTCCAGACATTTTCCACTTTTTATCTTGTCCATTTATTGAGGTAACCTGCCTGGTGGCCCTCCACAAACATCTCTGTTTACAATCCTTGCACCATTCTATGCTTTAATACAACAGTGTATTATTATTTATTTAAGTACTAACACAACTTATATGTATAAATATGAACAGGATTTTTTTTTTTCAATGACTAACACAGTTTTCCTAGGACTTCAGCTGAGACCATGAAACATAGAAGTGGAGAAAAGAAGGAATGCATTACTGAAGGAAAATCATCGATAAATACTGAAGCTGGGAATGAGCTCAGTATCTTTTGGCAACAGGATTAGTTAAGGTTGGGACCTTATTGTGAAGACCCTTAAAAGCCAAGATGAGGTGTTTGAGGTTTTCTAAATAGCAGTTATTAAAAGTGTTTGCAAAAAGGAATAAGACAGCAGCTCCTGAAAACTTTTATATATGACAAATACAAAAGAATGATTTTACTTTTTCCAAAAAAGTGGAAATGACTAAGATAATGTCTACTTACTTTAAATGAACTTCAGTTTGGGAATGTATTGCTTCTCCCAACACATTTCCAGTTTCATCCACCACAGCAGCTGCTGTATCATCACAACTGGTTTCAATTCCCAATACTATTTTGTGAAGAAATTGTGTTCCAGGATGAAAATTAAAACTTCTTAAAAATTCATAAACTTTCCTTTTTGATGGTTTAAAAAAAACTCCTGCTGTCTTATTCAAGATTAGCATACTTACTCTATAGATAATTCCTGAAACAGAATTACAGAAACAACTTATTATTTGCATCTGACATTAGCCAGCTTATTTTTCAATATATAGTTTTATAGAATTACAGGACAGTTTGTAAAAACTCACCAAAATTTTGTAAAGGCTATAGCAACATGTGAATATAAATAATATTATGAATGAATATAATATTCTCCAAGGGGGAAAACGGGTCAGATATAAAATTTTTTAGTATTATTATTACTTGCATGCTGTTCCTACCAAAAGACTTATTATTAAGACAGCTAATATACAGTACGATAATATAGAGTACGACAGCTAATATACAGTACGATAGAGTCCTCTGAAAAGTGCTATTTATTTTCTGACAGCTAAAATTAAGACAAAATATGGATTTTTCTAACAAGAATCAAACAACAAAGGCAGATGGAACAGATAAAAATACTGTTAATGTATTCTATTTCCTAAAAACACCTTTCAAAATAAAACTGGATCATTTGGTTCAAAAACAAGAGTTAACATAAACACACACACACTTACCAACTGCAACCTAACACCTATTTTATCCTTAATTACAATCTTTGAAATTAAATCTCCACTTTCTGCTATAGGTTTTGTCATAACAAGGATCTTCCCAAATCCTTTTTCCCCAAAATAATAGCAGCCCATCACTAAAGCACACTAGTATTTTCACACTGCGAAGTACCTAATTTCATGCCCCCATATCATCCGTTATAAAACTTTCTGGGTGTTAAAGCAGGTTCTTTCTCCACCACACTAAAGGGACACAGGGCATCCCAGGGATTAGAGATGAGCGACCTATTTGCAGAGGGCAGTTGCGGCAAGTGCAGCCCAAACAGACACAACGTGGAGGAATTAGATTTGCATTAACAAAATCCGGACAGGGAGGATTGTGCGAAGCACTACCCTTTCGGGCCAAGAAAGCTGCAGTGTGAACCCACGTGACTTGGGTAGCGCTGGTCTCCGGTAGGCTCTAAGGCGGCGAAGGGCGCAAACTGGAACCGCTTTTCCAGATGCGCAAAAGCGTCAGTGGGGTGAAGAGTGAGCAATTTCACCCACCTTCCTCTTGGGCGGTAGTAGCCAGCACTTGTCTCCTTTCCCTAGTAAAGACTGTCGACTGCCCTTATTGCTGCAGGAGAAAACCCGAACCTGGCGCCCGGAAGTGATGTCATCGACACCGTGCAAGGTCCCTTCCAGAGTTAGCTGCTGTTTCACTGGAGAGCCGCACGCTTAGTGAAGAAAAGCTTAAAGGCCGTCTTTGCCCGAAACGCTCTCTGTGCGCGCCCGCATTTCCCCCCAGATTTGCAGGTGATGAGAGTTCTGTAAAATTACACAGCCAGTGACTGATCCAGCGGAGACCGAATACAGGTTTGTCTGACTACGCAACATCAAGTTCCAAACACTAAGCTACATTAAAAAGTAATTTTTTTTTTGCCCTTGGCTGGAATTTGGTTGCTACTGTGAGAAAAGGATGGGGTAGATTATTCGTCATTCTATTTTTAAGGGAATTATCACCAAATCTAAAGGTAGGGGTGAGGTACCTGATACTTGTATCGGAGAAATAGGATGGAATCTAGCGGCACCCCCTAGCAGGAGTCCCAGAGAACGGAAGTGTTTCTGGTCGGACAGTGTAAACCGTTTCTCCCACTTCACTAGGAAGAAAGGGACTGGCTTATTTTTACAATTAAAACAAAACAAAACAAAACAAAACTCGGGAGACTGAGGCAGGAGAACTGCTTGAACTGGGACCCGGGAGGCGGAGGTAGCAGTAAGCCGAGATCGCGCCACTGCACTCTAGCCTGATCTACAGAGGGAGACTCTGTCTAAAAAAAAAAAAAAAAAAAAAAAAGGCTGTGGTAAATATTCAGTTGCCTTAAAAAATCCTATTTTCATAATGCATTTTATTGTCCTTGCTTACTATGTACACGAAATTCAGCATGGTATGTTTTCAGAGTCTTGCACCTGCTTTTCTTTTTTTTTTCTTTTATTGGTTTGTGAACTTTGTTATGAACATTGTTTGAACAGATTTAGTTCAAGAGTCAGTCTTCTCCCACGCTGGTATTTAAGATTTTAGTAAGCAAGGACCTTAGAATCCACTGTTGTACAGGGCTGGCATATATACCTGCACTTTGCACGTTGTGAAGCTCTGGGTATAAAAGATGAGTAAATCCCATAACAACATGTTAGGAAGCCAGAGTACAGTCTAGAGGTAGATACAGATAAATAAGTAAATAATTGCCAGAATATGGTTGAGGTTTTTTAGTTGGAATTTGTGTTTTTCAAAAATTTCATTTATGTATAACAATAACAATAATGATAAAGTGGCACTATATACCAGGCACCTGTTGTAGATTAATTTCTTTCACAATCCCATGAAGTAGTTTCTGTCCTCATTTTACAGGCAACTGGGCCACAGATTTTGGGTGCTTTGGAGGTCACACAACTAGGAAAAGCAAAGCTAGGATTAGAAGTCAGGCCATCTGGCACTGGAGTGTTTTCTTAACTGCTAGAAGAGAAAATAACTCACATTTTCTCTAGGGTGCACTGTTGGCCTAAAAAAGGAAAAAAAGAAAAATTAAAACCTAAAGGTTAAGAAAAATTAGTCATACTGTTAGAGGGGTCAGAGGTTATTTCTGTTATACACTGGAATCCAGTTTGAACATAAAACCTTTCACATCAGGTATTATTTTTCTTACAATTCCAATTATGTTCAGCAGGTGTATCCCAATGCTCTTCTGTGCTGTCAAGACAAGCAAGATCCTGCGTGTGCTATCATTGGTAGATTCCTCATCTAGGCACTCTTGGCCAGTGTTGAGTCCGAATGCTGTATTATGTGAAACAGGAGAACTCTAGGGCACATTAGTAAGGAATTTTATCTTTCCCTTGACCGAATATATGTGAAGTGGCACTTATACAAGTCCCATGTATTTAGCAAAGGTGTACATTTTGTATGTTCTTATTGTAACATAGGAGAGGGTTACTGGGGGAAAGGCATGTATGCTGAGTCCTGTCTGTACTTTTATGCACATACAGCTAGAATGCCACTCATGGGCATTCTCAACAAATATGGCCTATGTAAGCTTAACATAAATCAAGAGTTCCAGCTGTATCTAGATATGCTTATTTTGTCTCAGATACTGCGTGTCTAACTTTCCATTTGTAGCCTTCAGAGGAAAATTGTATTATTAATACATATTATATATTAATACATAGAAGAATCTTTTTTCTTTTTTTTTAGATGGAGTCTCACTCTGTCACCAGGCTGGAGTGCAGTGGTGTCATCTCAGCTCACTGCAACCTCCACCTCTTGGGTTCAAGCGATTCTCCTGCCTCAGCCTTCCGAGTAGCTGGGACTACAGGTGCCCGCCACCATGCCCAGCTAATTTTTGTATTTTTAGTAGGGATGACATTTCACTATGTTGGCTAGGCTGGTTTCGAACTCCTGACCTCGTGATGCAGCTGCCCCGGCTTCCCAAAGTGCTGGAATTACAGGCGTGAGCCACTGCGCCTGGCCCAAATCTTAATTTTCAATATTTATTTCCTAATTATGTTCTACTAGGTTAGGTTTTATTTTCATTTATTACGGATTTATTGGGTTATTTCCTTTGTGCTAGGAACTTTATTAGTTATTAAGGATACAGATAAGGTCCATTGTCTGTTCTCAAGGATCTGAGTCTATAGGCAGAAGACAAAATGCAATACAGAATTATGGAAAAGTGAATGGAAAGTGCATTCAGAGAGGGGTATTACTTGGGGAAAGCCACGTTTGCTTGCCACAGATGTATGCACAGCCTGGCAGGCCCATAGTATGATTACTTAAGTTTCAATATCTGATTATTTTATAGGCTTGAAATTGGTTTATCAGGTCTGGAAGTGACTGGACTTGGGAGTACTGAGTTACCCACCACAAATTGCTAATAAAATGGTGTGTAAAAGCCATTAATACTAATGTATTCGTTTATGAGAAATGCAATTATGGAGGAGCTAGGATAGTTGAGTTTGCCGGTCATTATCTTCCTTCTATTGACCAAATTACAATGAAGGCTAAATCCACATTATAATCAGAAGATTGCTTGGTAAATATGGAATGGAAACAATAGACATGAGTTTGGTGCTTTTAATGGCTAATATTTCAAGCCTGATGCAGCCCTTTCCACTTGAGTCACATATGTGTCTTACATTCTTTGAGTTGGCTAGTGCTAAAAATACATTGCCATTTTCCTTTCTCCATTTTTTTTTTTTTTGAGACCAAGTCTCGCTCTGTTGCCAGGCTGGATTGCACTAGCATGATCTCGGCTCACTGCAACCTCTGCCTCCCGGGTTCAAGTGATTCTCCTACCTCAGCCTCCTGAGTAGCTGAGACTACAGGCGCGCGCCACCACGCCCAGCTTTTTGTATTTTTAGTAGAGACGGGGTTTCATCATGTTGGCCAGGGTGGTCTCCATCTCTTGACCTCGTGATCCACCCGCCTCGGCCTCCCAAAGTGCCGGGATTACAGGCATGAGCCACCGCGCTGCGCCAGCCCATCCTTTCTCCTCTTAAATTTTCTTTGCTGACCAGTATCTCTTGATGTGGAACATTCTTTCATCAGTGGTAATACTGTCAATCAGGTCTTTGGAAGATATTTTGGGTTTTGTTTGCTGAGCCATTATGCTTATTTTACAGATTAACTTTTGTGAACTTTATTGCGGTAGGATTTACATAACAAAATTTACCATTTTAACCATTTTTAAGTTCAAAGGAACTAAGTACATTCACATTGCTATGCAACCATGACTACCATCTAGCTCCAGAACCTTTTCTTCTTCCCAAACTGAAATTCTGTACCCATTAAACAGTAAGCTCCCAGCTGGGCACAGTAGCTCGCTCCTGTAACCCCAGCACTTTGGGAGGCTGAGGTGAGTGGATTACCTGGGGTCAGGAGTTCGAGACCAGCCAGGCTAACACGATGGCCGTCTCTACTAAAAATACAAAAATTAGCTTGGTGTGGTGATGAATGCCTGTAATCCCAGATAAGTGGGAGGCTGAGGCATGAGATTCACTTGAACCCGGGAAGCAGAGGTTGCAGTGAGCTGGGATTGTGCCACTGCACTCCAGCCTGGGCAACAGAGGGAGACTCCATCTCAAAAAACAAAACAAAACAAAACAAAAAAACCCAGAAACCAATAAGCTCCCATTCCTTCTGCCTTCCAACCCTTAGCAACCACCATTCCACTTTGTCTTTGAATTTGATTACTCTAGGAATTCATAAAAGTGAGATAACACAGTATGTGTCATTTTGTGACTTATTTCACGTCATAATGTCTTCAAGATTCATCTAGGATGTAATATGTATCAGAATTTTCCTCCTTTTTAAGGCTGGATAATATTCCATTGTGTGTATGTCACATTTCTTTTAACCATTCATCCCTTGATGGACACTTGGATTGCTTCCATCTTCTGGCTATTGTGAATAATGCTGCTGTGAACAAAAATGGACAAATATCTGTCTAAGTTCCTGCTTTCACTTCTGGTATATACCCAGAAGTGGAACTGCTGGATATAATTTTAATTTTTGAGGAATCTCCGTACTAGATGATCTTATTTCCTTATTTTTTAAGTGTGTGGGTCTATGTGTGGTTTTGGCAGGGAAGGGAGAGGGTGAGTCTCTGTCGTTCCCACATACTCCCCATGACTGTTAAGTAATGTGTTAGAAGCATATGGTTTGATGAGAATTCTAGGAGAGACAAATGTTTCAAAGAATCTCTGTATTTTTACCAGCAATAACTAATAAATCATCTGGCTTCTCTGTTCCCACTATAAAATTATAAAATGAGGAAAATACTACATGTTTTATCATCTTGGTAAAGTGGTCAACATAAATGCAGAATATTTGAAAACTCGGGGGTTTTCAAAATAAGATTGTCAATAAAAATTTATAATTGCATAATTGGAAAGTCAGAAAATTTAAACACTGTAAAATTCCTTTCATACTTTATATCTTAAAACTATTTATTTTACAATGTTAATGAAGTAGCTTATTTCTTTACGAAAATCCTTGTATTTAAGATTATTTTATCAACACATACTTATGCAGTACGAGTGAACGGACACAGTGATAAACTGCTTTATCTGCTAAACTTAACATTAGTTAGAACTTGAGAGCTACACATGTCATTCTATAACCATTGTTTATCAAGGGCTTGAATATGTGTCAAGAAATGAAATAAATTACAATACTACACTGAAAACTCAAATTTTTTTTTTACTGTTTTTCTAATTATGAAATGTTTCAGATTTTGAAAAAAGGAAATACTATAAACAACTTCTGTGAGGCCAACATTCAACTTGAGATAAAATCATCCAATACAGTTGAAGCCCTGTGTCCTATATACTTGATACATTCAGGATTCTGACTTTGATGTTTATAATTCTCTTGCGTTCATTTGTAGCTATATGAAAAATTTTAAACCCAACATAACAAACTACTTGCTAAATCACTGGATCATTTTTACCTGGAACTGAGATTAGGGAGTAAAATGTGATACATCTCATTATTTTCTTTCTGACATAATAGAGAGTTTATCTCTGCTATTCTACTTACCTTCCCCTCCCCTGCCTTGCACTACTCCAAACCTCCTTTTAGGGTATTTTACCTAGACATGTCTTTTTAGTACTGAACTTGTTCACATTTCTCACATCGACATGTAGTATCCATGTTACTGTTTTGGGAATTACTCTTTTCTTTCTATCCTGTTAGAAAGACTATTAAATTGCACTGGTTGACACTGGGTTGCTCCATTTGTGTTCTTCATGACTAGCATAAGGCTATTTTTGGGTGATACTTACTGATGACATATATAATATAGAAGACACAGGAGAAATATACTGCATGAAAATCAAGATTCAGCTTTAGCTAGAGAAGATGAATCAATAAACTAAAATCTAACAAGATGGAGTTCTATAGGAAAAATGTCTTAAGAGTTTGGTTTAATAAATCAATTTAATATGTGAAGGGTAATCATAATTTAACAGCACTATATATTGAAGATTTAAGATTTTAGTGACATAGTGAATCAGTGATATGCAGTTGTCAAAATAAAAAACTAAAGTGGTATTAAGCAGTGTTAAAAAAAAAAAGCATCCAGAACAGGGGAAGTGGTACTCTTTCACAGCATATCTGATCACCTCTTGTATTTAACTCTTGTGCTATATAATAAGGAATAAACTGGAACTTAGAGCAGAATTACCAGGATAGTGGGAGAAATCTGAAACCATATCATATCGAAAATGATGAAGGCTCTAGTAATATTTATTCCATGCTGCTGACACAAATTTAAAAGTTACCTTTAAATAGTTGAAGAGTTATGTAAAGATTAGATTTTTGACTCAATATACAACAAATTGTAAATTCCATTACAAAACTAGAATATACTGTCTTATAAGTCCTCTTCTATTAATATTATTATTAAAACAGAACTAAACAGAAGGGTGGTAATTAGTGAAGATTCAAGCTAAGGTAGGGGACCCAGCAAGCACATCACTTGAGGTCAGGAGTTTGAGACCAGCCTGACCAACATAGTGAAATCCCATCTCTACTAAAAATACAAAATTAGCTGGACGTGGTGGCATACACCCATTATCCCAGCTACTCAGGAGGCTAAGGCAGGAGAATTGCTTGAACACGGGAGGCAGAGGTTGCAGTGAGCTGGGATCACATCACTGTGCTCCAGCCTGGGAGACCAAAAAAACCCAGCTCCAGCCATCTCAAAAAAAAAAAAAAAAAGTTAAGGCAGGGGGTTGAATTACATGGTGTCCAAGGGCTTCTCTAATTTAGCCTCATATAGCTCTATAAGCTAATTCACATAGGTGTTAGTCAAGGAGATATTATTATGCCCCTTAGGATCTTTATAATTCAATAGACAGTAGTACCATAAACCTAGAACAAGGATGGGGGCAGGTCAAAGGGACACAGCAGTCAACTTGTAAGCGCTCCTAATGGTCAAAGCTGGAGGACAATTTGAGCAACAAATCATAATGGATTATATAACCCAAAGAATGAAATATCCATGAGCCCAGAGTATAAGTGATTTAATAAATAAGTAAATGAGGGAGAATAGACAAATCTTCCTTATAAAAGATTCCAATAAATAATTATAGAAGGAATAAGATAAACAGAAAATCATCACTAGAACTCCACAGTAATAATTGCTGCAAGAAAGATCCACCAATGAATGCTAAAATTAGTGGCATTTCTGAGCTCATGACTCCTTAGAAACTGCCATTATGTCTCCTGACTTGAAGTGAGGAGCATTTATGGCATGGCAATTTATTTTGTTCCAAGTAATAGTCATTATAGATTTTGTTTGAAACTGCAATGTAGCCATCAAAGGGAAGGGAGTTGGTTTGTCTTGTTTACACACTATCCTCAGTACCTAACATAATTCCTGTAACAGAGTGGGCCCTTCAAATATCTACCGAGTAAATATTTTTAAAGCATTGACAGGAGAAAGCAGTGAAGAAAGCATGTGTAAGAGGGAGACTTCTGTCTCTGAAGTATGTTAAAAAAATGTAAGCCTTTTGAGATGAACTTTAAAATAAAGAAAAATGAATGTTTTTTGTTACTTTAATTTCACAAATTCAGTTGCTTAAAAATAAACTTGAAAAATGTCACTTTAATTTTGATGACTAAATTTGGAGAGCTTTTGAAATAATCTTACACCAAGGAAAAATTTTATTAAATTATGGATCACCAGTTATTTAAAAATACATGGGAAAAGACAGACATACAAAGGTAGTATCATACAACTGATTTCTAAACTCAATACTTTTGAAATACAAAACAATGATCATTACCCCCCAAAGTCAGTTTACTGACACGAATTGATGTTTAAGTTGGTCTATAACTCTTTTCATTCAATTATGTTTATAAATGTTACTGAATTTTTAAATTTTGTCCCATATCTGAACTTGGTTTTTTTTGACATGTTTACTTCTCAAAGTAGTATATAGTTATTTCTTGCAATTAATGTCAGCAACTATAGGAAGCTTTCCTAAGTCACAAGAATTCAATATGGTTGCTGTTCTGGAGACAGTTACCATTTTGGGCTATATATACTAAAACCCACGTATTCAAAGGCAAAATATTCATAGGCAAAATATGGGGGTTGAGAGCAGGAGAACTAAGAAAAGAAAATGTTATCTTTTACTGCAGACCTGCCAAAAAAGACTCCATTACTTACTTTGGTACTATTGCTAGAGACGTCATTTCTGCCACAGGTTGGCTATATGGTTGTTCCTTTTATATTTCCTTTTTCAAATGATGACAAACTTTGCCAGTTAAATTGTTCAACCAAATAAGCAGACACCTTTAAATTACCATTACTTTTTAGTTGCTTGAAAGAAATAAATTATTTTCTTAATTGGTTTAGCAGCCTTGTGTCTGGAAAAGCAGTAAAACCCCCTTTGTTCCAAAATTAGAACACTGACTCAGAGGCTGCTTGTCAGATACTTGGCTATTTTCTATCACCAATCAGTCACAAAGGTGAACCTCCATGAACTCTGTAATGTAATAAATGTAAAAATGGCCTCACTGACCAATACACAATATTGAGCCAGCAAAACCAAAAAAGTACCCTCATAAGTGAGAAATGGCTTGTATAAAACAAAAGGATATACATCCTCTTACATAAAACAAGAGAAATATGTATAGTAATAAAAATAATCTTTAATAAACTTGTATAGAGATGATTCCGGTTTACATGTAAGTCTGCTTTAACTAACCATGGCTGAATGATTGGAAATGTTCTTTTCTTAACACAATGCCCATTCATTATAAGTTAAGCTGGTCCTAGTTTTTTACAAATCTCTTATTTCCTTGAATTTATCTACTACACCCTCACTGTGATGCCCTTGAACTTATAAGCTGGGCCTGCCCAGCCTGCTTATTAAGCCCCTCTTCAGAAATATACCAGATGTATTAAACAGAGGCATCATTTAATGGAAATCTGCACTTCAAAACAGCACTTGAAGGACCAGCCATTGGCCCTCCAATGTAAATACTTCTTAATTTCACATTATCACAGAAACAGTGCAGTTTATAACCACTCCTTTCTTATAAGAAATTCAGCAGCTGTAAAAAGTTTTGTTCAGTTTCAAAAGATTTCAATACTTATTAATTCCAAAGATCCGAACACCATGTAGCTGTGGCATTTTGGGAATTAGCACACTCAGGAGAGAAGCTGTGTTTAGGATGAAGTGAGTTGGATCATACTTCGTATAGAAACTTGCCAGAAAATATCTGTAGAGATAAAAGTTAAGAATATATATAACATCCAAAAATAAAATTACTTAGAACTTAAACAATTTTAAAGGTAGAAAAAAAAGGCCATTAAAGCATAAATACCTAAAAATAAAACTATTTCTGAGCACTAAAATAAGAGGAACCATTTTAGTTTGGCCCCAAGTTTTATCTCATTAGGAACTAAAAAATTTGTTTAATGGAGGTCCATATTTTCCATTTCTGTAATTGTATTAAATACATTTAATAGAACACATTGCACCCTTTAAAGCAAGGCTTTCAAACTAGGGTTCATATGCCCTCTGTAATTACAGGTGTGGTTCTGTATTTCCATGTATGTTTCTGAGAGAGATCTGGATTCAAAGCATTCATCTTATTCTCAAAAATTTTTATGACTCACAGGTTAAAAACCTCTACTGCAAAGCTCCGAAAAATGGGGTTTTAGTTCATTAGTACAATTCCTATCTTTGAAGGAAATAAATATTTAGTTGCCCTTTTGATGTTCTCATTTTCATACTGTAGTTGATTGAGCAGCTCTGTAACCAGTTTAACTGGTAACTTGAAAGACACTGTTGTACCATTCCAGCTGCTTTTTAATAATCAAATGCATGTATGTTTTTGGATATCCAACTGAGAATTTGTTTTAACAAGCCCCAAGCCTAAAGCACCTTTAAAACCGTAAATCACCAAGTCCAGAATGTTTAGTTTTACCTACGGGTATATCAAGGTGCAGACACATCATCTGATTACTAACGGAATAATACAGATAAGATATAAAGAATAAAACATCATGTCTTATTTGTTCATAACTAAGAAGTTAGTTTCTATTTAGGTGTTTATTTTTGCAGTACACAGGGGAAGTATTCTAATAGTCTTTACTGACATTAGTTTCTCATAAGGGAAAATAAGTATCTTGTGTAATATGGTTAGAAGAGAGAAGCTACTTCCAAGTATGACAAAAAATCACAGTCAGAGAATTTTATACATTTTTAGAACCATCTACATTGAGAAATCCTACAATCTTCCACCTATTTTGCAAACTAGTCAGAAAATTCTTTCTCGAGTGTAAAACATATTCAATTCTGAAATTCTTTCTTCCTGCTTTCATGTATTTGAAGACTAAATTTATACTTCCTTTACTGAACAAAATAGGACATCACTTGCATTTAGCAAACTCACTTCATTTCCCACCATCATTACAGGTTTAATCTATAATCTGGGATAGGTTAGAAATAATAAATCTTATAATGGGTTCTTTTGACTATAACCTAGCATATGTCCCCTTTTTGTCTTTTAAACGAATTTTGTGTGTAGATTATATGAAAATTACTTGCCTCTTTCAAAAACTTAGACAACCCTCTGATGGTATGCAAAACCCAGGTGGGAATCAGTGTGACAACATTTATTTGCCAACAGCTATATTGGAAAGAGACCTGTATTACAAGATAGTAGTTTAGGGTGTAAACCTGAGCTCTTAACTCCAACTAGGTGCAAGATCTTCAACAAGGTAATGCATATGAGTCTGTTTCTTTACCTAAACATCTGGAATATGGTGGCTCATGCCTGTAATCCCAGCACTTTGGGAGGCCGAGGCAGGCGGATCACCTGAGGTGAGGAGTTCAAGATCAGCCTGGTCAACATGGTGAAACCCCATCTCTACTAAAAATACAAAAAGTAGCTGGGCATGGTGGCACACACCTGTAGTCCCAGCTACTGGGGAGGCTGAGGCAAGAGAATCGCTTGAACCTGGGAGGCGGAGGTTGCAGTAAGCCGAGGTCACGCCACTGCACTCTGGCCTGGGCAACAGAGCGAGACTCTGTCTCAAAAAAAAAAAAAAAATCTGGAATAACATTCCATGTCACACCTACCTGACAAATAGTTAAGTAAGAAAATGTGAAAGCACTTTGAAAAGTCTTAATGCTATATAGATGGCTTTAATGCTATTTCTTCAGTTAAGTAAGCAATTTAATCAGAATATTTGAAATCATACCTGTTGGTCAAAAATATATTTTGAGAAATATGGACACTGTACACAGGTACATCTCAGTTGACCTTTTGTGTGATAGCTGTGATTAAAACTTCAGAATATGTCAGGCGTTTTACATGTATTATGATGCAATCTTCAATGTTTTACAGATGAGAAAACTGAGCCTTTGAAGAAAATGGCCAAAAGTCACAGAGCTTCAAAGGGGTTGAGCCAAAATCCAAATTCAGGGCCATCTGAATAACCAATATTTTTGTTATTACATGCATGCATGCATTCATTCACTTATTTATTTAATAAATCGGGTCTTACTCTGTTGCCCAAACTGGAGTACAGCATGTGACCGGAGCTCACTGCAGCCTCCAACTCCTAGGCTCAAACCATCTCCTGCCTCAGCTTCCCACGTAGCTTACGTTTATTTTTATTAGACCTCACTGACACTTTTCTTTGAGGTTAATTTTATATGGGACTAAACCAGTTCAAAATTTCCTCAAAGGGCTATAAATTAAGGAAAAAGGACCCCATTATTTTATGATCAGTTTATTCCTTTCACTTGAAAAATGTCTTCCCTTACTTAAATATCTAAAGCCTATTCTCTCTTAAGTTCTAGCATAAGGATTTCCAACATCCACCTCCAGGAAGTCTTTTGTGCTACGCCAGGCTGTGCTGACACTATCATGGACATTATTATGTTTAAGATAGATGGTACAGAGTATTAAGATATATGAGCAATACCTCTATTATGTGTAGGCCACTGTACTTACTGTGGGATTCAAAGCAATCCATGCACTTATAAATTCTTTGGAGAGACAAAATAAAACATATATACATTTTTTTATTTGTCAATTATACCTCAATAAAGCTGGGGAAAAAAGGAAGCGGCATTTCAGGTAGGAGATATGATTTGAACAAAGACAGAAATAGGACTACACATGAAATATTCAAGAAATGCTGCTTAGAAGGCCAGGTAGGAGTTGGGTGGGGATAAAATATTTACATCAAGGGAAAATGGGGTAAGAACTATTTTCTGGAAGGTGCAGAACATCAGATAAGAGAAAGAAATTAGATACTAGATACAGGTTATATGCTATCCAGGTAGATATTATCTCATTTATTTCTTACAGCATTAGTATTGAATTAGGTATCACTAGCTAGAATTTTATGTATGAGCAAACCAAGCTGGCTGAATGATATATATAGGACTCCACCCAGGTCTGTCCTGTAATGAAAGCCTGACCTCTTTTTTTCGAAACCATACTCTTTCCCAAGGAGTCTGAATATCTTAATAGGTTAGGTGGCCAGTGAAATTCTTCTGATTGTCTAAATCATTGCTTAGGGAGATTAATCTGACAGTGCAATATAGAATATGATTATGTATTTTGTGTCCTTATATGAAACCTAAGAATGGGAGCTGGAATACATTTGACCTGTATATCCTACATGTCTAGGTGCACTGATTAGCATGTAATATTGTCTTCGTATGTACTGACTGAAGTGAAAACTAATTTATTATCAACTTGTTAAAAATTCTGTCTATAATTTATATTCTATCCGAGGTGCCACTTATTGATAGAAGTTTTCAACAAAATGCTGTTTCTAATTCCAATTCAATCTGATGAAAGGATATTTTCCTCTTATCCAATCTTCCTCATACCTAAACATTTCTGCCACTTACAAAATTATTGGAGAAATTGTGAAAAACTTCCGTGAAGATGTAAACTGTACTCCATAGTCCAGTTGTTCCCAATGAGTTAGGAGCCTTGCTTTACCCTGGTCAGGAGTTTCGAAAGGTGTTCCTTTCACTGCATGCAAAAATACATACATCCCCTGGAAAACAAGCAAGGGGGTAGAAATGAACAATATTAAATACAAAACTAGTCTTTGTCAGTAGCATTAACAAGGTTCCAAGCTGTGAGAGAGTGTGGGATTTAGCTGAGTTCATTTTGCGCTTTCAGATAATAGTGAAAGGCTGTGGCCAGTTTCATTATAATAAAATAGAACTTTCTAGGGTATATAAATTATTATTAAATGAGAATTTGTAAAAGGTCAATTGAAAGTAACCTGTTTGCATTTCTTTTCATTAAATTGAAAATAAGTATCAGTGTAGCTTCATATCTTTACATTCAGATTTTCCTACACTTTTCCTATTAGGAAATAGGATTACTTTTTCCCCAATGTACAGGAGGTTTTTCTTCAGGGTATATTAGTAAATTTGATGATACTTAAAAAATGATGAAGACATACAAACTGGTAGAAAACAATAAAATGATTAAAATCTATCGGGAAAAATAGTTTTGAGATATTTAATATGATGACTGCCTTTGCCTTAATAGTTCTCTTCCAAAGCAACAAGTTTGATATAATAGGTATAATGTTCCACTCAATTCCCTTTTTAAATCGCCATTGTGCCTCAATAGTGTTTCTTCTGAAGTCAGTTTTTAAAACTCAAAGCAAATAACATTACTAAAAGCCATTCTGTCAGATCTGTCAGATCATATGAAACATATAACATTTTTATTAATAGTTAGGATAGAATAAAACCAATATATAGTAGATCTGGTTTCCTTGAGATTATGATACCCATTTAGACTGATAGGCAGTGTTTCGTTCAGGATCACTGCTTGAGACACTGTAAAAGGATAATGCCTAAATATTATCATGACACAAAATTTTTCCTTCTAGACACCACAATGTGATGTCATTTTTCCTACCTCAGCTTTTAATGATTATGTAGAAAAATTACGGATTTGAAATTTTATATGATACCAAGTTAACCAAGCCCTTCCTTTCAAGGCTTAGTCTACTTCCTAGTTTTTCCATTAGGCAATTCAGAAGTCGTTTAGCTGCAATAACACGTAAGCTATGGAGGAAAGGACTCATGTTCAATTGGATTTAACCCACCAAATATTTAATAAGTGGCTTATATGTACAAGACACAGGACATACACGCACATATGAAATTGAATGAGATGTACCCAAGCCTTGGAGAAATTTAATCCTCTAAGAGATGGTAAGGAAAAAAAGATATGCATAAACAGCTAGAAAGTAGGGCAGAAACTGCTATCAAAGGTACAATCAGAATACTCAGCAAATGGCAGGGGAGGGAAAGGTTCGTTGTTGCTGTGGCAAAAGTCTTGATGCTACCTCATTAATTACCTCATTCTTAAAGGTTCAGCTCAAATAACAATTCCTTAGGAAAACCTACCTCATTAGTAATAATTAATCTCCTGTTTATGTAGTTGTATACAATTTTATTGAAAATACGATTACAGTACGGTATATCGTGTTAGAGTTGTTTGAATGACGTTTGTTTTCCCATTAGCCTGAATACACTAGGAATAAGCACGGGACACTGCAAGACATTAGACACTGGACACTTCCAACATTAGAAATATTGGAAGATGACATTATGCCAAGGAGTATTTATTCTGTAAGCACTACAAAACCATTTTTATATGGGCTTTAAAGTGAATTATAAAACAGAAAGTATGTTTTCAAATTCTCAGGGGGTATAGGACCCCCAAAAAGTTAAGAACATCTGTTCCAGACCACATACATATTAGAATCTAAAAGAATAATCATCCTCTCATTATTTCCTTCAAACTATATAGACTTAACTAGTGTTTAGAATATCGAAACAGTTTATTTTATACATCTTTTCAGTGAAAAATAATAAAATCTTTATCTGGCCATATATCTTCTGCCCCAGTATTATTTTTTAAATTATTTTTATATAAAAATGTTTGTGATCATTATTCCTACATTAAAAGAATTAGGGAACAAAAGTATGTAGCTTATGGCTAGTCCTTACTAATACCTACTGAATCAAAATGAATCATTCATTTTTAAAGCTGGGCCAAGAATCTTGTGAAGCATAACCTCTAAGGATGAGGTAGCACTTAATAAAACAACCACTGTAGGTTTCTTTCAGAAAGGCAAATACACTATTTTTCTAACTGGGTGTAACAACTAGGTCCATTTTCTCATTTTTAAAGGCATTCAATATATATTTCAGATTTTTAATTGGTTTATTGTGGCTATCTTCAAAGGAAACTTAAATTTGGAGTCATGTAACTGCAACTCCTATGGCTAATTAAGTTTTTAGTGTGGTGAACTAATAACAAATAAATCAGAGGTTTGCTTTCTATACAGTGTTAATTACCAATCATTTGTCCATGGTCAACCAATTTGAAACAAGGTTAGGGGGTGGTAGTGGTGCAGGGATGGCTTCTAAAATATACTTAATACATGTGCCATTGGAGAATGGAAAAGACTAACTTGGCCAGGTGTGGTGGCTCATGCTCAGTACTTTGGGAGGCCAAGGTGGGCAGATCACCTGGGAGTTCGAGACCAGCCTGACCAACATAGTGAAACAACGTCTCTATTAAAAATACAAAAATTAGCCAGGCGTGGTGGTGCACACCTGTAATCCTAGCTACTCAGGAGGCTGAGGCAGGAGAATTGCTTGAACCCAGGAGGCGGAGGTTGCAGTGAGCTGAGATCACGCCACTGCTCTCCAGCCTGGGTGACAGTGAGACTCCGTCTCAAAAAAAAAAAAAAAAAAGACTAACTTATTCAGCAAACATTTAAATAAGTCTTTAGAGATACAAAAATTAAAACATAAAGAGATAAACTGCTAATTATAAAACAATGACAACCACATGATAAAAGAATGCAGCATGAGAGTTGTGTAGATTCCTGGAGGGACAGTTTTGCTGTAGGAGAGCAGGAAGGAGGGGTATTAAAATACTAGAGAGGGCTGGGCATGGTAGCTCACACCTGTAATCCCAGCATTTTGGAAGGCCAAGACAGGTGGATCACCTGAGGTCAGGAATTCAAGTCCAGCCCAGCCAACATGGTGAAACCCCACCTCTACTAAAAATACAAAAATTAGCTGGGTGTAGTGGTGCATGCCTGTAGTCCCATCGATTCAGGAGGCTGAGGCAGGAGAATCGCTTGAACCTGGGAGGTGCAGGTTGCAGTGAGCCAAGATTGTGCCACTGCACTCCAGCCTGGATGACACAGAGATACTCCATCTCAAAAAAATAAAAGTAGGCCCTGAGTGCCATGGCTCACTTATGCTTTGGGAGGCTAAGACAGGAGGATCACTTGAGGCCAGAAGTTTGAGACAAGATGGGTAACATAGCAAGATCCCCATCTCAATCAGTCAATCAGATGAGCATGGTGGGACACACCTATAGTCCTAGCTGAGGGAGGCTGAGGCAGGAGGATCACTTAAGACCAGGAGTTCGAGGCTGCAGTGAACTATGATCATGCCACTGCACTCCAGCCTGGGTAACAGAATGAGGCCCTGTCTCTGTAAAAAAAACAAAATGGCTGGGCATGGTGGCTCATGCCTGTAATCCCAGCACTTTTGGAGGCTGGTGCAGAAGGACTGTGTGAGGCCAGGAGTTCAAGACCAGCCTGGGCAACATAGTGAGACCCTATCACTATTAAAATAAAAACAAATTAGCCAGATATGGCGGCATGTGTAGTCCTCAAATTTCTTGGGAAGCTAAGGTGGGAGGAGCTATGATCACGCCAGTCTCTTAAAAACAAAAGAGTACTTGGTCCAGGTGAAAAGAAAATATAGTAGAATAGCTTAAGCCAAAGCAATAAAATGAGAGCAGATGATTTTATTGCTAGTGTACAGCCTGTATTTAGAGATGGTTGAGATAAGGTGAAGTCTCCTTGTTTCTGCACTGTTACCAACTGGTCTTATATGTCACACAAGAAACTTGGATTTTACCATGACTGCAATGGATAATCACTGAATGACTTAGAGTATGACTTGAGCAAGCACGCATTTTTAAAACATCACTCTGCCAAGTTGGAATGCAGAAGGGTAGAGAAGCATCAAGAAGACCATTTGATTTATCCGAGTAATTTACTTGTGGAAAAAATGAGGGTATGGGGATCAAGTTGAGAGTAAAGCAGTAGAAGGCAGTGCTCTGAGCAAACTGGATATGGAATATAAAGGAAAAGAAGTTATCCTACGACTTAGGTGACTTTGTATTCTTGTTTGCATTGGATGGTTCTGATTATACCTATTCTCTTGTAGTAGTTATTACCAGAGCTCCATTTTACTCTCTAAACAGTCTGTTTGGACTATACGTTACAGGTTGAGTATTCCTTATCCAAAATGCTCGGGAGCAGAAGTGTTTCAGATTTTGGATTGTTTTGGATTTTGGAGTATCGGCATATACATAATGAGATATCTTGGGGACAGGGCCCAAGTCTAAACATGAAATTCATTTATGTTTCATATACATCATACACACACAGCCTAAAGATAATTTTGTATGGTATCTTTAATAATTTTGCGCATGAAATAAAGTTTTGACTGCATTTTAATTGCAACCTGTCAGGTCAGGTATGGAATTTTCCGCTTGTGGCACCACGTTGGTGCTAAAAAATTTTCGAATTTTAGAACATTTTCTATTTTGGGTTTCCTATTAGGGATGCTCAACCTGTGTATTAATTGCTTTACCATTAACATTTAGCTGTCCGGCTTGGCCTTTAGAAAAGATTAGTGGTGAAGTCAGAGGAGCAGATTGTGGGTGGTAAGGGACTAATCAGGAATAAGATAAGTTCCATTTATACTTGTTTGGTTTAAGGTGCAAGGTAATCTGGTGATATAAATAAATAGGAGCATCCTTATTCTACAGGTAGAGACTGAAAATATGGGTAGATGAAGTAACCTAGGTAGAATACATAGCATAAGAAGAGGTGAAGAAAAGAACCTTGGGAATAGAAATATTTAGGAGAGGAAAAGAGAAAGAAGACTCCATAAGAAGAAAGAGAAGGTCAGAAATACATGCCAGTGAAAGTGATCCTATGGAAGCCAAAGGAAGTTTCAACAAAAGGGAGATGATTAGTGCAAAATATTTCAGAGAAGTCACTATTTAAAAGAAAACATCTTTTCCCCTTACAAAGTCTATCACATAAAATGGACTAAATGGACACGTATTTATCATGTCTACCAGCACATCATTCTTGTCCTCCTCCAGTCAACTTCAAATATACTCCAGAAAATAGAAAATAAATATTATTATTATTGTTATTATTTGAGACAGGGTCTCACTGTCACCCAGGCTGGAGTGCAGTGGCACAATCATGGCTCACTGTGACCTCCGCCTCCCAGGCTCAAGCGATTCTCCCACCTCAGCCTCCCGATTCTCCCATCTCAGCCTCCCGGGTAGCTGGGACTACAGATGTGCTGCCACCATGCCCGGCTAAGGTTTTGTATTTTTTGTAGAGACAGGGTTTCAGGTTTCACCATGTTGCCCAGGCTGGTCTAGAAATCCTGACCTCAAGTGATCTGCCTGCCTCAGCCTCCCAAAGCACTGGGATTACAGGCGTGAGCCACCGCTCCTGGCCAAAATAATGTTAATTTTAAAAAATCAATTTCTCCTGTTTTCCTGTCTTAATGCTTTAAGTTAATTTTAAAAAATATCTTTCAACAAATGTACTGCTAAACTGGATTCAATTAAAATTTTCAAGTAACTATTTCCTCCTTTTCACGTTACTTTAATAGGCTATTAAAACTAGAAAAGTCGCTGTCAGGATTTTTTGTTTTTGTAAAAGGCAATTTCCAGGGCTGCATTATATGGTCAGTAGAGTCAGTCAAAACTTTGCTACTCTGTTAGCACTAATACAAGAGAGTGATACTCAACAAGCAGCAGCTAAGGCACCATAAGATCCTGAATCACATAAGATATGATTAAGTTCAACACTTAAATACTGAAACAGTAAAGAATACTTACACAATTTAGATAGATAAGTTAACAAGGATTGAAACTAAAATGATCTATTTTCTAGATTTTATACAATGAGAAAAAAAGAGTCTTACTTAGAAAAAGGCCCAGTTTTGAAATAAAGTGTGAAAGAAAAAAGAAAATTCTATCCCAGATTAGAATTCTTCAAAATTAAGTCTTATATACTAAAAACCACTAAACTATACACTTTAAATGGGTGGATTTTATTGCATGTGAATTATATCTCAAAAAAAGCTGTTAAAAAAACTAAGTTGTACATATCACAAAACCTTAAGCTTTTTTAAAAACTGTGTTTAAACACACGTCATAAAGTTTACCATCTTAGACGCTTTTTTCCTTTGAGACAAAGTCTCACTTTGTCACCCAGGCTGGAGTGCAGTGACATAATCTTGGCTCACTGCAACCTCTGCCTCCCAGGTTCAAGGGATTCTCCTGCCTCAGCCTCCAGAGTAGCCGGGACTACAGGCATGTGCTGCCCCGCCCAGTTAATTTTTGTGTTTTTAGTAGAGATAAGGTTTCACCATGTTGGCAAGGCTGGTCTTGAACTCCTGACCTTGTGATCCACCCGCCTTGGCCTCCCGAAGTGCTGCGATTTTAAATGTATAATTGAGTGGTATTAAAAACATTCATATTGTTGTGCAGTCATCACCATTACCATCGACATCCACAACTCTCTTCATCTTGCAAAACTAAAAACTCTGTACCCATTAAGCAATAACTCTCCATTCCTTCCGCCCCTTAATTTCTGGCAACCACTAAACCTAAAACTTTTAAGTGTTTAGTATAATGTGAAATTCTTACCAGATTATGTATAATATTTGTTAAAGTCCAAGCAACAGGAACACTGAAGAAGGGAATGCTGAGTAAGACAATATGAAGCAAGCCAACTCCCAATGCATATGTTAGCCACATACCCCGGCTGTTCATGACACGGGTATTTGGATTCACTTCACTGTGGGCAACTCCAACATTCATGTTTGCTCTATAGGAAAGTAATAAAATGAATCAACACTGATATAACTGGCAACCTAAACACCCCCAATTCTGACATGACAAGGTACATGTGTTACGATGATTATTTTTTCCTAGTTATCTTGAGGTAGCACACAAACACCATCCAAAATATGCTACTTGTAGAGATGCTGCTGATAGCAGTGAAGAATCGTCAACATCTGACTTTATGGTAAGACAAGACTTATTATCATGGTTCTAATTTAAAAAGTAGTTAAAATGCCTTTCCTAAAGTTTGTTTTCTAGCATGCTGTTTTACTAAATAGGAAAATTCAAACTGAAAGAGATAACCTACATTTTCTTATATCATGAGAGCAACGTGAAAAGCCAAAAGCTAAATTTACCAACATAATAAATTTATATTAAAAAGAAAAAGCAGAACTCACCCAGCCAGTCTGTCAAGTAGCCAGACTCTTATATCTGACTTACTGTATCCATAAAGAATAGTCAGAGTTCAGATCACTTCTTTCTGAATACTGAATGTGGAAGGTACATGCCGTTGACATAATGTGGTGTAAAATCTACATGGTCAAGGGATAATGTTTGTTTCTCAATTTTGTGATACATCTAGGTGAAAATAAGGAGTCTTCTGAATATTTCTCTTGTCAATTAAAAAACTTCAGTTTTCTTTCTTCTTTTTAAAAAAGTTTTTCCCATCTCCTTTCCATTTAAGATGGACTCCAAAGGAAGAACTGATAATAGTTATCAGTTCTTTTAATGATGGTGTTTACTTGGGTCTAAGAATTCCTTAAAATAAAACTGTCCTGAAGAACACCTATCATCCGAGGGAGGGGGAAAACGAGGCTAGATTACATTTGGAACAGCTGTGATTTTAAAATACACAAACGCTTGTATTACGGAGTTAGCATACGGAGAGGAACTTCTGTTTTCCCCATCCAGCAAGTGCTTCCAGAGTATAATGCTCCTTCCCCTCTAGAGAAGCACAGAACAGGCATCAAGGGTTAAGGGGACGAAAAGTTAGTTACACTAAGACCGCGACAGTCTCCAATTTGTATGTGTAAATCCTTCGTCTAAACACACATCATTTATTATACATTATTTTAAACTACTTAGAACATGCCAACACTCAAGATAGTTTTCCCACGTTCCACAGGATGGAGGCCTGAAATTTACATCTCAGCTGGAAGGCAAAGCTGGTGCGGTACTCATCCTATTCCAACCAGAAAACCTTTCCCCAGCAGGTTTGCCGCGCTGCCCCGCGGCTGGCAAACAATGACCTTACAGACCGTGAAGAGGCCGTCGGCTCTGCCCTCGCCGGTCCCTCCGGAGACGGCGACCCGCAGCGGCCCCTCAAGGGAGTTCCCCCTGCCTGAGCCCTCTGGGACAGAGAAAACGCAGCAAAGGCCGCCGCTGCTACCACCTCAGCACCTCCCCCAACCCGCCCCTTCCTTCTCGCAGCCGCACGTCACGTCAGGACCCTGGCAAGACAGCGAAGATTTGCGTAGGGGACGAGCCTCTGAGGCCACGGCTCGCACGGCCACGCAGGGCGCCGCAGATGCAGCCGGACCTCACTTTTCCCTCTCAGGACGACCCTAGGCCGCCAGCAGTTCCCTACGGACGAAGGAGACTGTACAGCCTCCGTCGCGTTCGTGCCCACTTACCCGCCGCCCCACTGCCGGCCGCCGGCTCGCAGCAGGACCAGCCGGGCTGCTACGGCCGCGGATACACGCCCTCAGGCCGGGCGCTGCGTAGCTTGCGGAAGCGTTCACAGACAGACTCGCTGCCAACGGATTGGCTGCGAGCAGCGCCAATCTTACGTCCCCCCCGGGCGAGGCGGGACTAAGTGCCGCGCTCCTCGTACCCGCTCTGCCGCGCGCATGCTGGGTGCGAGTGCGGTGTCGGGCCTGCGCTCCGGATGAGACGCTGGCTGCTTGCCGCTGGTGGATGGTAATTGCCTGCCTCGCGCTAGCAGGAAGGTAGTGTGGTATGACTAACGGGTATTTATTATATTCTCGAGGGCTTGAGGGCCCCCATCCCCTTTACTCGTCCTGGTCCGGGCGCGAACGCTGTAGTGCAGCTAAGGGCGCTCCCCGCGGGCGGGAAGCGAAGCCGGGCTTGCAGGCGCGCACACGTGGAGCGCGTTCTCTGAGCTGATCTGGGCTCTGGGTGTTCTGGCTTGGTCTTTGTTGCGGCCCATTCCCAGACCCTTCTGGGTGCAGGACTTAAAATTTGTTTTCCAGGCAGCAAATTTAACCCATGGCAACTGTAACTCATCTTGTGAGGTTGGCGGTTTATAGTATTCTATCCTGTGGCATCATACAAGGGGTGCAAGTTAAACTCTTTAAAGTTAATCACGATGTTTGCTCGTGGCCTTCTGGGTTTATCCGTACGCCCAAGACAGGCACCTGTATTACACATACTGGGGAAATGTGGATACCAAAAACTGATCCTGAGGAAAGTCTTGATTAGATTTTTTGGAATCGCCTTTGAAATGTAATTTCCCTCACCTTGGCAGTGCGGAAAGTTTGTGATCTTTATTGCCTAAATAGCTTTCAACATTTTAAAATTGACTTAAGAGAATGTTCGCTATGTATGTCTATGTATCTTGAATTTCTGTTGGCTTTGTGAACTTGTTTTAGATTTAGTCTGCTCTTTAAATAAATGATTTCTTTGTGTTCTCTCTAATGAAAGTCTGTGAGTTCTCTGATCTTTACTTCTTTTTTCAGGCAGACCTGTTGTCCTTAACTGACTTTCTGGGTCATCAACATTCCTTCAGAAGTGTTCCTTTTCCCTCTCAGTAAATATGGAAGACTGACTATCCTGATATTCCCAGACATTCTTTGCTGTGATTTGTAAGCCCGATATAAACCATTCCACTTTTTCAAAAGCATTCATTTGGTACACATATGGTATAGAGTGCTATATTCCAGGGGCTATGCTAGGAATGTGTGATTGATATAAAATAAAACCCCTGTCCTCAAAGAACTTTGAGTCAGGAGGAACAGACAGAAACACATATTAATAGAATAACTTTTGATGAGGTTAATTAGAAATGAGGTAAAGGGGGACTGCAGAGGAAGGAATACCTACTCTGTTGACAGGTGAAGGAAAGGAGGCTGCAGCAGTGAAGAAAGGCTTTCTTGAAGAGCTGATACTGAACTAAATCTGGAGGGATGATTAGAAGTCAGCTGAGAGAGAGAGAGAACCATGTGAACTGAGGAAGGAGTGTCACCATGTTAAGAGAGATGAGTTGGTTGGGCATGGTGGCTCACGCCTGTATTCCCAGCACTTTGGGAGGCCGAGGCGGGCGGATCACCTGACGTCAGGAGTTCGAGACCAGCCTGGCCAACATGGTGAAACCCTGTCTCTACTAAAAATACAAAAATTAGACGGGCATGGTGCTGCGCTCCAGTAATCCCAGCTACTTGTGGGGCTGGGACAGGAGAACCGCTTGAACCTGGGAGGCAGGTTGCAGTGAGCCGAAATTGCTGCACTCCAGCCTGGGCAACAGAGTGAGACTGCCTCAAAAAAAAAAAAAAAAAAAAAAGTTGTGTAGTATCATCCCCCTAGAGCACATTTGGGCAATGATGGGATGACTGGGAGAGTAGGCAAAAATCCAATTGTTAAGAAGTTTGTACTTAACCTGGTTGGCAGTTGGAAACCTTTATAAAAATTTTAAGTGGGGCAGCAACATGATGAAATTTAAATACAGAAAGAACCCTATAGTGGTTGAGATTCGAGTCAAAATATCAATTAGGTGGTTATTGCAATAGTTCAGGAGAGAAAGTTTGAGAGGCTGAATGGAGGCAGTACAAAGAGGAGAGGACTAGTTTAGGAAACTGTGAGATCTAGATAGTAGGGGAGAGATGACTGGGTGGCAGGATGTAGAGAGTGAGTAGAATTTCTAGGATGACTTCAAGGTTTCTAATTTTGCTTTATGTGCCTGGATGGAAAGTGTTTAAGAGCATGGGCTTTGTAGTCAGACGTGCCAAGGTGTGCATCTGCCACTTAATAGTTTTGTGATCTTGAGCGAGTTACCATGCCTTTAAATCCTATTTGGTGATAAAGGTTGATAGAATTCATAGAGTTGTTTTGAGGATTAAATAGAATAATATATATAAAATTCTTATGTTGGCTATTATTTTTATTATCAAACAAGAAATACAGGAAGAAAGCTGATTAGAGTTCTGTCTTGGTGGCTCATGCCTGTATCCCAGCACTTTGGGAGGCCGAGGCAGGCAGATCACCTGAGGTCAGGAGTTCAAGACCAGCCTGGCCAACATGGTGAAACCTCGACTCTACTAAAAATACAAAAAATTAGCCAGGTGTGGTGGTGGGCACCTGTAATCCCAGCTACTCGGGAGGCTGAGGCAGGAGAATCGCTTGAACCCGGGAGGTGGAGTCTGCAATGAGCCGAGATTGCCCATTGCATTTCAGCCTGGGCAACAAGCGCAAAACCTGAAACCCCGTCTCAAAAAGAAAAAGAAAGTTAGAGAAAGATTCTCTGATCAGTTTGGGACATGTTATGTTTAGGTTGCCTTCCGCTCATCTAAATGATGGTATTTAGAAGGTAGTTGGAAGTAAGGCCCTAAAGTTCAGAAAAAAGTGTGAGATACAGGTGAGCTGGAGGATAATATGGAAGCCAGTTGAAATTATGTATGTAAAGAGAAGGAGGATATTTTTTCTAACGTTTGCGTTAGCATAGGAAAGATGCTGGTAAATTATATTTAGTGGTCCTTCATTAATATTCATGAAGTGAAGGGCTTGCCATGAGTGAAGCATTTGATTATTCTGCCTGGCATCCTACATTCAAAAGTTGTACAGCAGGAAAAAAAAAAAGTTTTGCAATTCAGGACAGGGGTATAGTAGGTTTAATTATACAATTTAATCTTTACAGTTAATAGTATTTTACATTGATTTACATTGATGATAGGATAAAGTGATATTTGATATTTTGAATATATTAGATTATCCAAATACATAATTAAACTTCACTTTTTCATTTTTTTTTTTACCTTTTTTAATGTGACTACTAGAAAATTTTAAATGATATATATGACTTATAGTTTTGTTGAACAGTGCTGGATAGAGTACTGGTTAAAATGGCTGGCTCTGAAATCACACTACTTTGGTTTTATCCTAGCTCTTACTAACAGCTATATAATACTGAGGAAGTTAAACTTTGAAAAACTCAATCAGCTAATCTATAAAATGGAGATAATACAGATATCATATGCTTATGAATTTGGGAGAGACACAAATATTCAAACTGTAGCAATTAGGAGAGAAGAAAGATGACATGACGTGGAAGAAGAGTATGAAAAGAGATGCAGACATCTTAAGACCAGAGGACACAATAGGATGGGGTAAAGTGTGATAGAATTCATGCTATGAATTGCCATGATCTTAGTAAACTAGAAGGATGAGGAATATTGGCATGAAATTATAGAGATTTGAAAAAAAAAAGATTTTGGATTTGTCATTGTAGTAGATGAGGTATTGTAGGGAATGAGACAAAGATGATGAGATTAAGACTGCTCAGAAGGAGTCAGTCTAGGTTTATACCCTAAAGTTTTGTTGATCAGTGTTTTTCTTAGATCCTTGGGATTTCCTAGGTAAGGTAGAAGACTTCTTGAACCCAAGCCTAATGTGTGAGCCCCTTTGGGGTAGGGGTTAGAGGTGGGGGGATTGTTCATTTAGGGGTTTAGAGGAGCTCAATTTAGTCCCAGTACCCTGGGATGTTTTTAGCATTTATTTGCCAAACACTGTAATACGTTATTTATATATACTACCTTATTTACTTCTCACCACAATCATATTATATCATTATTAGATCCATTCTGTAGATTAGGTGATTGCATTTTAGAGAGTTTAATTTCCTCAGTGTGATATACCTGTTAGTGTAAGAGCTGGGATAAAACCAAAGTAGTGTGATTTCAGAGCCTGCCATTTTAACTACTGCTCTATCCAGCACCATTC